AAAATCCCACCCCCGCCCCCAACCTTGAGACCCGCTGGTCTGTGCACACCTGTCTTCTCTTTCTCCAAGCAACAGAAGCTTCCTCTGCGCAGCATGGCCCCCAAGATACCTCACAGCTCACTGTCCTGTAATGTCATTGCTGTTCCCCTTCTATGGAATGGGAAGTAAAAATAACTGTAACAACAAGTTATTGTATACTGGTTTTAAATCAATCAACTCATTTAAATCTTTGTCAGCAACTCTATAAAATTATTCCATTGTAAACTGTTATGAATAATTAGGAATAATATATTACAAGATGAGGAGGAGACCAAGGCAGAGAAAGTCAGTGAACTTGGTCAAGGTCACACAGCTTTTAAGGAACTGAGTCAGGATTCAAACTCAGGCAATTGAGCTCTTAAGCACCATCCTACACTACAACGTCTGTCATACAAAATGTTTGGGATATGCTTTAGAACTGCTAACTTTTTAAATGGCTATTTATACCATTGGGCCTGAGATGGCATGGCAGGTAACAATATGATATTATTATCATCCCCATTTTTCAGATGAGGAAACTGAGGCTGGCCCAAGGCACCTGATAGTTCAAAGACAGTCCTGGGCCATGAATCCTGGTTTCCTGTCATAGAATTCAAGCTTTCCCTGCTATGGCAGGCTGCATCTGGATAGGAACTTTAGCAGGAGAGGCTGAAGATATAAATGTCCCTTCGGTTGCTAACTGTCAAGCCAGAGAACTTAAAATAGGAGGCTCTGCTTTTTCATAGCAATCCTGGAGCCCAAAGTGAATACCCCACGTGGGTTGCTGGGTGCCTGTGTGCATTCCGCATATTTAACATGAGAAGCAGCCGGTGAATTTGTCTTGCACCACCCAGCCCTTCCTGGAGGCAGCTGCTTCTTTCAAGGGCTGTTGGGCACGGCTGGGAGGTGACAGCAGCCACAACTGGTCAACTGTATTGCTTCTTGGACAGAAAAGCCATCTTTGTCGGCACGCATCCCTCCAACAGTCCACTCCCCCTGTATCCAACATCTCATGGAACAGAGTGTGCAGGTGTTAGGTCATTCCACTTGAATGGCAATCCTGGTGGGGAGGGGTCATTATTATCACTCATGTTTTGCTGAGGAGAAGACTGGGGTTGGAGTTTCAGAGACTTGGTCAAGATCATACACCCAGTACATGGTAGAACCAAGGTAGTGTGCTGGTTCTTGGACTCACCTTCAGCTGCTGCCTCTTCTGGGGTCCAATCCTTGCATTTTGTTGGGATTCGAATACAGAGTGCTAAAGCAGAAGGGCATCCTAGGAGGTGCTAGAGGTAAAGAACCCCCCTTGCCAATGCAGGAGACTAAGAGACATGGGTTTGATCCCTGAGTCAGCAAGATCCCCTAGAGGAGGGCATGGCAACCCACTCCAGTATTCTTGCCTGGAGAATCCCAGGGACAGAGGATTACCGTCCATAGGGTCACAAAGAATAGGCAAGACTAAAGTGACTGAGCACACACACATGCAGAGTGGAAATGGGTAATGCTCAGGAACAGGCCTGACTCCAAAAGATGACCAGTCTCCTCACTGTGGGAGTCCTGTCTAGACTGTTTATTCATTCCACACAAAGTCATGGGGAACCGGTGCTACACTCTTGTAGGGCACACAGGTGAAACAGCAGGTAAGCAGCGGGTCGAATGGTGACCCAAACTATCCCCTCAAGAGGCGTATCCACCTCTGAATCCCCATACCTGTGAATGTGACCTTTTTAGAAATAAGGTCTTTGCAGATGTAATTAAGTTAAGGATCTCAAGATGAGACCATCCTGGCTTCCTAAGTCCAGTGACAAGTGTCCTCACAAAAGAAAGGCAGAGAGAGATCTGAGACATCCACGTGAGGACAGAGGCAGAGATGGAGTGTTTAAATCAATTTCTGTTATTTTAAGTCAGTGATTGATTACCAGTTTGTGGTCATTTGTTAAGGCTGCCCCACAAGAATATATCCTGGAAGGGGATCATTTTGAGAATGAAGAAGAAAAGAAAGAAGCGCTGGTTGTGAGACGACCCAGGTAGCACATATTAAAATTCACAGGAGCAGACCCTTTTGTGCCCTGTCAGAAGGACACAGGTGAGTTCTTCCTGGAAGTCATTGAAACAAATGCAGCGGAACCCTCCACCCCTAAACTTCCAGCTGTTAAAAGAAGGCAGCTGACAAGTCAGCAGGGTAATTAGACAGAGACAGGAAGTCAAGTTGCTCCAGGCACCTTCAGGGGAAGGGTGTCATCAGCTCCAGGTTTATTCATTAATGTCCATGAATGCCTCCATCCCTCCCTCTTTCACAAACAAGAAATGTGTGTGTGTGTGCGCGCACGCTCATGTGTATGTGTCTGTGGGAGGCCCCACGCCATGCTCTGAAGAGGGTATAACGCAGCCCCTCCCGATGGGGTTCAAAATCTGGTGGGAAAACAGTGATGTCAGACCCCGTGCTTAGAGGCAGCATTGATATGATATGTATTCATACTGATACAGTGACACTGTTTGTTGAAATGGTGGGGCACTTCTGTCTGTAGCAGTTGGTAAGAAACCATTGATCTGAACCCCTAAGTGCCACCTGCCAACTCGGCTATGCCAGCCCCCTCCCCTTGCAGGACCCCCTGGACCTCTTCACCATCTAGCAGTAGGGGGACAATGGTACCTGGGCACATAGACCCTCCAGGATCCTGCTTCTGTGCTATAACCAGGGTCTGCTCTGATGGTCCCTGCTGTCCTAAGTGTCACATAGTTTGATTATTATCGCTGATGACTAGGCCTCATTGCTAAAGGAATGAGAGGCTGGCTTTGAACCCATGTATCTCAGCTATTTAACCCCAGTTAGTCATCTTGAAATTGCACGCCTTAGGCAGGAAGGAAGATGAGCAGGGGTAGACCAATCTGTCCACGTCATTCACCCATGCCTGGAAAGTAGCCTCAGAGAGATCACCTGTTCCCTTCAAGAGCACTGAGACGGGTCTGGGGAGAGCTCTGGAACCCAGAGCAGCAAACATATTGGTCAGAGCCATGCCTTCAAGCTACCAGGGTCCAAGAAAGATCAGAAGCCAAGTGCAGGCTGTGGACCCCACTGTCCGTGCACCCTGCAGAAAGTCAAGGGTCTGGAGCCGGCAGGCAGAGAAGGCAGGGCCCCAGATCTGGGATTCTGGTAGAGGAGGTTCCAGGTGGACCAGAGGTTATCAGCTCAAGTCAACTCAAATTTCTGTCCACAGGAGCCAGGCAGTTAAAGCAGCTTCCCCAAGTATAATACTGGGACAGCCTTAACACACTTACAAAGCCATTTCTGTTAATATAATTCTTGCAGCATTCAGAGTATTTCTGTGGGGGGAGGGCTGCTGGCCCAGAGTTTTGTCAGGAAAGTGGCTGCAGGTGCCATGGAAGGAAAGCATGTCTATCCTCCTTCCTTATGTTTCTCCATGAGGTCAAGGGGCCAAACATGAAATCTTTCGGGGTCCTTCCAGATATATGTATATGTGTGTGTCTTATAGAATGCACTTATTTTATTTTGGGCTGCTCTGGGTCTTCATTGCTGTGCAGGCTTTTCTCTGGTTGTAGCAAGCTGGGGTTACTCTCTAGTCGTGGCACGGGGGCTTCTCGTTGCCGTGGCTTCTCTTGCCGCGGAGCACGGGCTCTAAAGCACGCGGGGGCAGTAGTTGCCTCACGTGGGCTCAGTAGTTGCAGCTCCCAGGCTCTAGAGAACAGGCTCAGCAGTCGCGGCACACAGGCTCAGTGGCTCTATGGGCATGTGCAGTCTTCCTAGACCAGGGATTGAACCCATGTCTCCTGTGTTGGCAGGCGGATTCTTTACTACTGAGCCGCCAGGGAGGCCCTTCCATGTGTTTTTGAGAACTGACTGGGACAAGCCGCTTCCACTGGGTTTAAGCAGAAGGCAACACCCACTCATCAGCATTGTTGCTATTATAACAGGGACGAGGACCTTACCGTTAGTGAAAGGACAACGTTTTCCAGCAGTTCCAGACACCAAAAATGGAAAGGACTTACTTCATTTAACCATTAACTCAATTAACCACAACGGAATTTTGTACCCAGACGGATCTATAGTGCTACTCCTTACAGCTGCCTCACTCGGGCGCCTTCTCCTGCTCTGCCGGTGTCTTATCTTATCTTTCAACAATCTCAGGACGCAAGCATTATCATCGCGCCCCCGGGGTACAGATGTAGCTACGTCGGACCAGAGAGGTCCAGAGTTCTGATTAAGGTCACACAGCGAAGGGGCCGGGAATTTGAAGCCAACCAGGCTTCCTCGAGAGAGGGAGTGAGCTCCCCGTCCTGGGAACAGCCCAGGCACTGGGGAGAACTGAGGATCGCCAGCGTCTAGGGAATTCCTGCAGGGCGTGGGAGGCGGGGCTTGATGACCTCTGAGTTCCCCACAACGCCCAGTTCCAGCTTTCTACGATCCCATTGTTTCCGAAGAAGGGGTCCCGTGACTCTGCGGGGGCGCCGGGCCTGGGCCTGGACCTCGGCCTGGACAACGCGGGGGGGAGGAGGCCGCTGTAGAATCCCCGCGCACCCGGGGGCGGAGGGGCCGGCGCGGTGGCGCCCGAGAACGGGGTCCCCTGCGGCCCAGCGCGCGGAGCCCCGATCCTCACAGCGCCGGAGCAACCCTGAGAGGGCGAGGCACCGCGAAGCGAGAAAGCTGTTGTTAATAAGCAGAATTGGGTTTTAATGGGGTTCGCAGAGATAGAACAGAAATCAAATTAGGGCCTAATTGGCATGCACGCGGCAGTGAGCGCGGCGGCGGCGCGGCGGGCCCGCTGGGGTTGAGCAGCGCAGCCGCCCCGGGGACGCGGCGTCCCGCCAGCTGGAGGCCGGGGCGCTCGGGGAACCCTCCCCGGCGACGCCCCTCCCCCGCCCGCGCGCCCGCCCCGCCCCACGGAGGACCCGGGCAGGGCCTGGGAACGCGCAGCGCCGGGGCTGCGGCGGGGCAGGCGAACCCCGAGCTGGGGCAGCCGCGCTCAGCGCCCGCCCCAGACGTTGACCCCGTTCCTAGAAAACGCCCGAGCCGCGTCCACGGCTGGCTTTTTTGTTTGTATTGCTGGAACAGATAAAAGGGAGTGGGGGAGACGGCCGTGGGGAAAGGACAAGAAAGGGGAAAAGAGTTACAAGCCGAAGAAGCCAAGAGTTACCCAGCGTGTAGTAATTAGTAGTAGCGTAGTAAGGGTGATAACTGGGCGCTGACCCTGGACCGAGTCCCTGCAGGCGCGTTGCGCTCTTTTAGATCGTGACTCCTTCAGGTTTGTACTTTTTCTCTCCGTTTTACACACGAGGCATCAGAGGCACAGATAAGTTTAGTTTGCTTACCCAGGGTTGTCCAGCAAGGAAACCTTGTAACTGATACTCCAACCCAAGGCTGGGCGACCGCGAAGGTTATTCTTGTATCTGTTTCTGCCATGACCAGTGCATGCGGTTACGTTTCTTTTATTTATCTTTAAAAGCACTTACAGGAGTCTCCTTAGACTGATGATACGTTGGTTTTATTTGTAACAATGCAGAAAGTTACATGATGACATTTCTTTTCAAAATGTTTCAATTCAAAATTTCTCTGTATCCCATAAATTTTAGGTCTGCCAAATTCCTTTAGTTTCGTTGGTCTGTGCCAAGAGCACGCCAAGGGTTTGGGAGGTAGAAACTCAGAGAAGCAAAGATCCCAGCAGTTCCCCAGGTGAGCAGAGCAGTAGTGGAAATGAATAACTGGGGAAATACCAGTAGCAGTTCTCCCTCCTCAAGCATCTCCTGTATAGAATGTCCACCCCTCAAAAGATTCTTCAAGGGATGTACTTTTTTATTTTTAAATGTGGAACTAGGTTCAGAGAAGTACAGTGACTTCCCCAAAGTCACACAGTGAGTCCACGGTGGAGCTGTCCCAGAACTGACCCCATATCTCCCGGGATTAGACCATTTGTTCCCAGAGCACAAAGAACTGGTGTACTCTGCCCTTCTAGCAGCTGGAGGGTAGGATGAATTACTCCCCTCCAGGCCACACAACCTTTGCCACATTCCCCACCCCACCTGGCCTTTGGACCAGATTGGAGGAAACTTTAAGCACCCAGTACTGACCCTTTCAAGCCTGGGGTGGAACCTTAATATGCCTCCACGGGGGGATCACACATTTCTTGGTTGCCGCGGACAGAACATTGCAGCACTGCATTTTTCAGTGTGTATGACGTGAACCATGTCCAGAATTGTTCGTGAAACAACGGACTCTGTGAGCAAATGATTTGGGGGAAACTTGGGGTTGAGCAAAGTTAAACCTGCTCCTTCACTGCAGGACTCTTTAGAGCTTTTATCATGCTCAAGCATGAGCTCTCCAAGAGGGTCCACTATATGAAGCGTTTTCCAAATCATGGAAACCCTTTTTCACAGAGCATTGTGTAGGACTGGAGTTCCACAGAACCCACCCAGTGAAACATGACCCAATGTGTTCTGGAGCTCTTAGGGAATTCTGTCCCTAACTGGGGATAAAGCTTGCCTTCTATGCTTTTTTCTACCTGCTGTTTCCTTTTGTGAGGAGAAACATTTTAAAGTCCCACTCATAGAAAAATGTTCATGATTGAATAAGGAGCCCCGGTTGCACATTTCCCCAAAGTACTGCCAATCACACTCTTCAATCAAAAATATTTATTGGACCCTTATGCCTGCCCAGAACAGTAAGGAGCTCTGAAGACTTAAAAGCAGATGAAATTAGCCAGGTGATGTAGGTAGCACATTTAGCACTGAGGAATGATGGAGTTATTGTCACAATATCTTTTATCCATATTGCTATTAGACCTGGTTCCTGCCCTCTTGGAGCTCAGAATCTGGTTGAATAATTAAAACACATGCACCCAACATGATAAAACAGCTTGGTACATCCACGATAAAGGCCACTGCAAATATTTGGGAAGCATAGCTTTTTTATTCCCTAAGCACATTTAAAAATCTTTATTAGATTTTTAATTATAAAATTAATACAATGCATATTGGAAAAAATAAACACTTCAGGAAGAAGAAAATGAAAAGCAAAAAGTTCCTGTTCATACTCTCTGCCACCTTACTCCTTAGAAGTAATCATTGTAAATGGACTGTATACAACTCCAGACTTTTCTGTGTAAAAAGCAAACAAGTAAACATGGAGTTTTCTTTTTACAAAAAAATTGGGTCATAAGACACTGCTTGTAAGCCCCTTTTTTTCCACTTCACTATATGCCACAGACCTCTTCTTTCTAACACACCAAGACCAACCGCCCTCCACTCCCAGCTGCCCCCAAGACCCACCCCTTCTGTGCTTCACTATGTCAGCCCTTGAGAAGGGAAAAGCCATAAAAGTTTACTCATTTGCTGGACATATCCTGAATGCCTTACACATGTGTGCTGGGGGAGGGAAAGATGGAAAAGTATTTAAATAAAGGGACCAGAATATGCAAAGGTGTGCAAGTGGGAAATCAGGTAAATGGAGCCAGGTGTGGAAGATGTCCCTCTCCATTTTCAGTGACCAAAGGCCATCCCATTCTATGCCCAAATGGTTTACCTCCCCAGTCCCATTCATTTTGAAATGGTTTTTATAAGAGAGGTTAGAATATTGCTGATCTGCTGTGGCCAGAGCGTAAGCACCTAGAAAGCAATGGGTCAGATTTCTGTAGGGTTTTACCCAGCATCATCTTTCCATAAATGCATGCCTATTAAATCTTTTAGCCAATTTCATGACTGTTTTCACAGACACTATGGATTGGAATTACCTGGTGTGAGACCCTTTTACTTAGAAGAGCAGAGTCAAATGGTAAACTCAGCGACACAAATATGTGACTTGAGCATGTCACCAGCCACTTGTCACGTTCATTCACACACTCAAGGGGTCAGTTGTAGCTGCAATTAGCTAGTTAACTAGTTTTTGTTGGGCTCTCAGGAGCTGCTGAAACATAGCAATGATGGCAGGAGGAGATTTTGCAATTGCAAGGACAAATATCTGTCCCGTGGCAAAGGGAATAGGGGAGAAGGGGTCCCTTAAAAGTTTCCCCAGGAGGCAGTGTGAAATTTAAAAGCAATCATAATTAGTCTTCAAAATGAAACATGATGGGCTGAATGTCAGATGCTCACTTGTCCCTTCTCCATGCTGTGGCCTCAACCAGACAGGGTCCTTCTCGTGTTCCAGTACTCTGGTTCCCTGCAAGGAAGCCCAGAGAGTCTATTAAAATTGCCAAATAGCTGAGATTCTCCAGGATCAGCAGATCCACACAGAAGACCTTAAATCAGCAGAATCTGTGAGCTTTCAGCTTCGGTGGCTGGTGCGCAGGGCTTTTCAATTGTTTCCATTCAGTTCCCTGAGTGGATCTCACAGGCCGAGTGAGATCTTTATCATCAGTCACTGTGTGCGCTGGGCCTGTCGCGGTGGAGTCCATCCCAGCCTCATGAAGACATCAGCAGGCTGAGCCCCTGCCTTGTCACTGCATACAAAATGCGTGGTCCCAGCTGAGGAGGTGAGAAGCCCCTGGCCTCACTTACCTGGTCCCTGACTGATATCACCTTCCCCTCGCCCCAACCCCATTCCGCTCCAGCCCTCTTACTGCTAGAGTCAAGACCTCAGAAAAGCAATTTGAATCAAAAAGGGGTCATCATAATCTAGCAGGCAGCTGTAGACAGGTGGTGGGGAGGTAGTGGGCCTGGGGGACTATCCCAGCTCCGAACCTGCCTGCTGAGCGCCCTTGGGCTTATTGTTAGAACACTCAGAGCCTCCAGTATAAATAGGCACCAAAAAACCCCACCTTCTTGGGACGGTGAAATGATTTAAAGTGGAGACTTAGAGTCTCTGACTGGTTCAGAAAATTTTGTCTAGTTTGTAGCATGTGAAGTGAAAGTCATTCAGTCGTGTCTGACTCTTTGAGACCTCACGGACTGTAGTCCACCAAGCTGTCCATGGAATTCTACAGGCAAGAATACTGGAGTGGGTTGCCATTCCCCTCTCCAGGAGACCTTCTGGACCCAGGGGTTGAACCTGGGTCTCCTGCATTGCAGGCAGATTCTTTACTGTCTGAGCTACCGGGCACATGCAGTCTCTAGCATAATAGACACCATTAAGATTTCTGATATATCCATCACCAAAACACTTACTGACACAATAATATGAAGGCACTTAATGCCGCCTAACTATACGCCTAAAAGTGGTTAAAATGATACTTCTTATGCCATGTCTATCTCAATTTAGAAACAAGATACTGAGCCAACTGCTTTATGCTACATGTTGTACCTGCACTTAACCTGCACACTTCCCTCAGATGGGAGAAATTATCCCCATTTTAAAGATGAGGAAGTGATCTCTGAGTGGCCACCCAGCTGGCAAGGAACTGAATCAGCATTAGAACTAAGACCATCAACGTCTGTTCTCTTAACCTCCACGCTTTAATGTCTTGTTTGCCTGAGGGTGGTATCTTGGATGTCTATTCAGCATATCACAACAGCTCACAGCCCCATTCATACATTCAGTCAGACTTGAGTGAGTACCTGATGGGTGCAAGTGATCATCTCAGATGCCAGGGAGGCAAAGATAAGTAGAAGCCCGAGAGCAGTACTATCACAGGCCAAGGCAGCCAGAGGAACAAACAAGACACTGAGTCCTTTAGAAGTGGAGCAAGCTGTAGGCTGAGGACCGTGAGGAGAGGCGTCTTCCCAAAGGACATAACCTATGCGCAGAATGAGATGAGTTTTTTCCAGCAAGTGGAAGAGGGGACAGCACTGGCCAAGACACAGTGGCAGAGGGGGCAGCTAGTGTGTCAAAAAGTGCAGAGGGGTCCGGGGAAAGGAGTTAAAGAAGATGCTGGAAAGATAGCCAGTCATAAGCAAAGGAAGCTGCATGGTTATCTTAAAAGCTTATCCTCCAGAGTTTAAGGGCGAATGACAAGGTCAGGTTTGTAGATCTACAGAAAGAAAACCGCACTTCCCCCCCCTTTTTTTTTTCTTTTCAACTTTTTTTGTCATGGTAAAAACAAATGACACCAAAACCCCAAATGTCTATCAACTGATGCAGATAAACAAAATGTGGTATATCCACAATGGAGAGTTTACAATGGAATAGTGTTCAGCCGTAAAAAAGGGAAGGAGTACTAACAGATGGATGGACCTTAAAAACAGGATGCTGAGTGAAAGAAGTCAGGCCCAAGAGGCCACACATTATGTCATTTCACTTATATGACATGTCCAGAACAGGCAAATTCATAGAGACAGAATATGAATTACCAATTGCCTAAGGCTGGGTAGGCAGAGG